GTTTTTAGAACATGTCTTTCTAAGATATATTCTAAAATATTTAGGAATTTGCTTCAGAATAATCCAGTGGGGTAGAGTAGTGCAGCTGTAGATGTAGATACAAATTGGTATTGAGTAGATAACTGTTAAAGCAATTCAATGGGTACGTGGAGTTTGTTATACTAGTCTCTGTTCTTTTGCATATGTTTGAAATTTTCTGAGGCAGAATTTAAAAATACACACACACACACACACACACACACACACACACACACACACGCTCCCATAGTAAAGATTCCATAACCCTCCTCACCAGTCTCATAGATCACAGAATCTTCAAGCTGAAAGGGAGGGCCTGAGGTTATTGACCCTGACAAACACAGATGAGACCCCCCCAGATAAAACCAAAGGCAGATACTCAGGTGAGAATGCTGGGTTGTAGCAGTCATGGCAAGAACTAGTGAAATCTGAATTCTTACTGTTAACATGACTTCGTTTGTACCTACCAGATGGGAACACTTTGTTCTCTCCCTTTAATTCCGAAAGTAGATCTGTGGAAATCTTTGGGGTGGATTTACAACGTACAGGTTGAGCTGTGACCCAGTACTGCCCAAAGCACTGTGAAGACTGGAGCTCTGAGCCAGGAGGTCTGAGGGCCTGGGCTCGCACACAGCCTTGTAGGCCTTGAGGACAAATATTTTCCACAAGAAGTTGCTATAGAAACTGTGTGCTACCAAAACCTCGAAAGGAGAGGACCTCCAGGCGATCACCAGCCAGGGATGCTGTAGGGTAAATGCCTGGTGCTCGCCCACTCTCACCGAGGTGTCCAGCCATCATTTCCAAGTGCTTGAGGGGGTCTCTCCTGACCAGTACTTTTCGGGTGGTTTCAACCTATTCCATCTCCGTTTTCTTGCCCTCGCCCGGATTAAGACCTGGAGCCCCAGAAGGCGCACCCATCTTCCCAATAAATTTCCTTTTCCTTTTCTTTCTTTCAGTTTCCCTGTTTTATTTCTTCCTTTACTTTGGAGCATTTTTATGACCAGTTTTGCTGGGAACACACCAGGGACGGTCATGAAAGACACTAAACAAGATATATTTCAGCAATAAACAAGATTCTCGTATTTCTCACGGGATCCCAAAGAAATGAGGATGAGAAATAAAAATTCCTGCTGGAGTATTTACAATGTGCTCAGCTGTTGAAATGTTCAAAATGCAATCATGGAGGGTAATTTAGCACTTTTCTAATACAATTAAGGATGGTAATAATGTTGAAGAGTTTGGTCAAATTTAAAGAACCCAGTGAATCTTTAAGGACATGGGTAAAGAATCCAACCCCCCCCCCCCCCGCCAATAACAAATACGTTTTGCTGGTTCATAATTAGTACAGTATTTGCTGTTGTTGTCTGTCCCTATGATAGGGGCCCGGATTTGAAAGGATGCAGTTTATCCTTCCCCTAGGCAGGGAAGAGTATGATCCAGATGTTTCCTTTTGCCCTACCTTCTCAGGCATGTGTAGATTATGGATACCCCACTATCATGTATGTCTCTGCTCTCATTATTTCTCAGTGGAACTCTCCAGCCAGGGCATTCTTTCCCAACTGTCAGTCATTCCTATGCCTCCTCCACAATTTTTATGAAATTTGAGTCTACTTCTCCTATTCTTTAAATTTATTCTTTTTTTAACTTAAATTTGTTAGAGCAAAAAATAAATACTTAAAAAAAAAGCAGGATTCCTTGAAACAAACCACTTGGGTTCAAATTCCAGCTCTGCCTCTTACTAGTTCTATGACCTTGGGCAATAATTTGATCTCTCTGTACCTCGATTTCTTCATCATTGAATGGGCGATAACAGTGTCTACCTTGTAGGGCTGTGTGTGAGGATTAGGTAAGATGTCAATGCATATAAAGCATGTAGAACAATGGCTGGCAAAGAGTAACTGTCCACAAATAACTGTTAGCTGTGATTGTTTATATTACTGTACAGTTGCTGTATTACTTGCAATAGATAGATTTAATATGTAACTACTAAAATTAAAAAGGGTTGCTCCAATAATCACCTCTAGCATCCCCAGGAGCACAATAACCACAGGGAAACAGCATTAACCCATTCTCTTTTTTAAAATGATCTCCTTGGCTTCCATGAGAATGTAAGGTAGTCCCTGACTCCTGGTTTTCCCATTGCGTCTCTAGATTCTCTTTCTCAGGCTCCTCATCTCTTGATTCTCTCATTTATAGGTTCAATTGTATACATTTTCTCAAGGCAGTTTCACCCCCTCCCATGGCCTTAGCATAGGTAGACCTACATGTAACCTTTCCCCACTGGGGTTCTTTGCCTGAACCACACAATGCAGAGAATGACATAAGTGCCTATTTTCTTCAATTCTCCCTAGGACATAACTACTAATACCATTCTAAGTGCAGGGGAGAAGTGTTAATTGTTAATGGAGGCCTTATGGCATTAGGGCTTACTTCTCTAGTGCAACCCCAGTTGAGAAAGGCTCTTCAACCCCATGTCCACACCCCTTATTTCTTCCTAAGGAAATGGTACCTGTATCCACCTTGTTGCTGAAGCCAGAAACCTGACAGTTATTCCAGGACCTCCCACCTCCCTCTCCCTGTCCCTCTTCCATCCTTCCTAATCAGCTTCCATTATCTGATAATTCTACCTACCTTCATATCCTTGAATCTTCTCACTGCCACCAACTTGATCAGCCCCATATCATTTTGCCCTACAATCACTTAACAGCAACCCGAGTGGCCGCCTTGCCTCCAGCAGCCCACCCTCCACTGCTTCCTAGGAAAATCTAAGTACAGCCTCATTCTATCACTTCCTCTTTAATGGCTCTCTAATAAAGCTCCAAACCCTCCACGTGGATTGCTGGCTCCTACTGTTACACCACCCCCTCCCTCTCTGCCTGGGATGCCCTTTTCCTTCCACCTGCTCCTCTACCACGACCCCCTCCTTTTGTAAGTCTTACTCATTCTTTTAGTTCTCTTCTGGTATGCTGTACATGGGAGCTTCTTCTCGAAGGAGCAGCTAGTCCTCTTGGGTTCTGCAGCCTCAGAAGTTAGCAATGTTGAACAGCCTACAGGCTGACCACTGTCCCCTGCAGGCCATCTCCATTCCCAAGGAGCCTAGCAGATCAAAGGGGGCAGCTTGGCATCTGTCTCACAAAGTGGCTAAACTGGGAGAACTCAGTTCTCTAAAGGTCTGTGCCTCCCTGGTTGGAGGGCTGAGCTCCTGCCTGTGGCTGCTCAGAGCCTGTATTTTCACTGTTGGATGCTTTCCCAAGAGAACTTGAATTAATAGCTCCATAATGAGCATGAGGGGCTGGCACACACCCCTGTTTTCTTAACAGAACTATGGCTGCCAGCCTCACTGTAGTTGCTACATTGTGAGGCTCTGAATCTCCCGGAGATTCCCGATGGTAGTAACAGCTGTGGCCTGAGAAGAGTTCCAAAAGACTGCTGGAGAAGCATGTGAACAGGTTGCAGCTAAATTCCTTTAAAAAAAAAATCTTTTATTGATTTCAGAGAGGAAGGGAGAGAGGGAGAGAAACATCAATGATGTGAGAGAATCATTGATCAGCTGCCTCCTGCTCACTGCCTACTGGGGATCAAGCCAGCAACCCAGGCACGTGCTCTGACCAGGAATCAAACTGGTAACCTCTTGGTGCATGGGATGGCGCTCAACCAACTGAGCCACACCAACCAGGGCCATGTGTCTCACATTCTTAAAGTATCACTCTGGCTGCTGTACTGAATATTCTCAACTTTGAAGGGCAGGGACAAATGTGGAAAAGGAAGACCAGTTAGGCTATTGCAGTAGTCTAGGTAAATGATATGATGGTGGCTTGGAGCAAAATGATAGCAGAGGAATTGGTTAGAATTCGTGGGATTATGGAGCTGCTAGACTGAAAGAGGAGTGTGAGAAAGGCGTCTAGAATGACTGCCGTGTGTACAGCTGTGCAAGTAGCCTCTTACTGGGTGGGAAATGCTGGGCAAAAAACATGCTGGGAAGGTGAGAGACCAAGAGTCGGATTTTGGACATGGATGCCCATTAGACTTCCAAGTAGAGATGTCATGTTGGCAATGCATATGGGAGTTTGGAGATCAAGAGTGTTATTATATTTTGCTGCATCATGAACTACTCCAAAACGTAGAGGTTTAAAACACCAACAATTTATTATTTCTTACAATTCGGTGGAAATTCTGCTCAGCTGGGCAATCCTGCTCTAGATGGCATCAATTGGGGTCACTCGCTTGGCTGCATTCAGCTGGTGGCTGGACTGAGAAGGAAGGTCCAAAGTGGCTTCACTCACATGTCTGGCACCTCAGTGTTCCACGTGCTTAGCTTGGGCTTCCTTGCAGCATGGCGGTCATGGGAGTCAGCTCCAGTCAGGCACACGATCACGAGGGCAAAGAAACAACACCCTGCAGTGCACTGTATTGCCAGCGTGTTTTAGATGTTGTGGGCTGAGCATGTTAAAGGCAGGCTGGGCTAAGGTATGCTATTTGGTAGGTTAGCTGTGTTAAATGCATTTTCTACTTAGATTTTTCAACTTATGATGGGTTTATTGGCACGTAACCCCATGGTAAACGGGGCAGCATAGGTATATGTATATACATACTATACAGTATGTATAGGTATATACATAGGTATAGACATGAGAACATGTCTTTTCCATAAACCCAACAATCCTCTCCTGGAGTCTCATTTGGGCTGACTGTGGCTAGCACGTGCAATGCTGAGCCAGTTCCTGCGGTCTGTGAAATACCACGTGCTGACCAGCAAAAGGGAATGAATTCCCTGACTGGTCGGGAGCACGTAAGGCCCAGTCCTGATGCTGGGCGGTCAGCTTCCCCCGAAGCACGTTGGCTGTACTGGGGAAGGGTGTAGGGGCAAAGGAAGAATAAATGCTGAGTAGATGACTAAGAGATTCTGTTGCTAAAGTGAAGCAAAGAACTGAGACAACTTAAGACAGCTTATAGATTGTCCAGGAAAAAATATGTGCCTTTGAAACTGTATCATTTCAGTTTTTATTCCAGAATCATACAAAGCACTATCATCTGTATTATGTAGCAGTGGCTTTCAAAACTTTATTACCTTGACACACAGTAAAAAAAAAAAAATACCCTTTACATCACCACCCAGGTCATATATAGTCCTTCCTTCCTTTCTCCCTTCCTTCAACAATCAGGTACTGACCATCTACTGTATACCAAATGCTATTCTAAGCAGAATACAGTAGTAAACAAAGAGGGAGGGAAACAAAAATTCTTGCCTTCAGAGATCTTACCTACTGATGGAACATACAATAAACACCATAAGTAAGACACATACACAAACACAGAGAAACAAGATTCAAGGAACAAAACCTCCTATTACTACATTCTGTCACTCTAATGAAGTAGACAAAGTGTGTTCTCTTCCTATATTGCAGATGGAGTGACATGTAAAGAGAGATAAAGCGAGTTAGACCAATTCACCCATAATCCAAGGGAAGCAATAATGAAACTATCTCAGGGCTTCTGACGGAGTCCACTGCTGCCCTTTCCCATGTCCTGTCGTCCTCACAGGTGCCTTAGTTCCTGCTTCTCTGATTATGAAATCTTGACCTGGAGCAGCTCTTCCCTTCCGTGCCGGGTAAAATCACGCCAGTACTTCCCGGCCTATCTAGACTGCTGCAGGCTCCAGGATGCTCTCCCGCGACTCACTGCATCCCGACTTCCGGTAGCATTACTGCTGCCCCAGAGTAGGCTCTGCCACTGGGAACTCTTTAAGAGCAGGTATCACTCATCATACCCACCCCCCTCCACGAAACACAGGGTTTTACAGAGTAGATTTTAATCAATACCTATGGAATTGAGTTGAATTTGAAAATGATTTAAAGGAGCAGGGGAGAAAGGGTTTACTAGCCAGGAGTGCATGATTTAGGCAACACCTATTTAAAAGGGTAGGACACTAGAAAAGATATCACTGGAAAAAAGATCGCTTTGACCTAAGTTATAAAAGTCACACCTTAGGTAGAGGCTTTGATAGTATAAAAACTACAATCCAAATTTTCTATCTCCCTAGTATCAAGTAGATAGATTTAGAACCATGGATGTAGGTCGTGTATCACAAAGAACAGAAACTTAGTCACATTCAAAAAAGTGAGGACCATTAAAGGAAGCTGGTGAGACCTGAGGCAGGACTGGAGCCCGAGCCCCCAGGGAGCTCAGCAGCAGGAGTCAGGGCACCTTTGCCGCAATGGTGACCATTACAAGGGGGACAGCTGCCAACTCACCCAAATGAAGAAAATCAATTCAAATTTTCAAGAGAAAGCATCTAAATGGCACAGCCAATTCTTTTGTCCACTTCTGCTTTAATTAGTTTGGGCAAGATGGGGCTATGTGGTTGGTGCAAATGTCTAGGGAAGGAGAAGAAACTTTTTGAAAAGGGAGGTGAACTCTGATTAAATACTGACCCAAACTGGAAATTTAAGTTTAAATTTTATCCTACCACTAGAGAGGATGGGGACTCAAGGCCAAGATGAGGTCAGTTATAAGCAGTATATAAAATACTGTACCTGTGATATAGTATAAAATAAATTGAATAGTATTAGAAGTAAAAAAAATGTAGATTTTAGCTAAATGATCTCTAAGTTTCAGAGACCTACAGATCTATGAATTTGTAAACATATATCATGAAAACTGAATTCTCCAACCCATGGTTTTCAGACTTTATTTTGAATGAAGAGATTTCTGATTCTATAGGACTAGGGTAAGGCTGTAGGGACTGCATATTTAAACAAGCACTCCAGATTCTGTTAAGGATGTGTCATATTGACAAACTGCTTAACCCAACTTCTTAAAGGAATTAAAAAGGGGCCCAGCTTGCACACGTTTCTAATTAGAACAAAAACGGACAATAAAACCATGCAGGTACACCATTGTAGTAACACTAAGAGCATGTATAAAATTTAAAACCACCACATTTCATATATTTATTTTTAATAGTATTTTGTCACCTAATTTATAGTGGCATAGGTTTATAAATGTTTCATTTAGAAACTTAGTCTTGGGTTTTCTTTTAAAACTGAAAATAAGGAACAGTTATGAGTTAAAGAATATTTCAGGATGACATGCTGACCATAAACTCAAAAGGTACACTGATACCAATTCTATGCACAGCAAATATGAATGTAACTTATTTAAACCTTTTGGTTCACATTTTAAAAAGCACCCTCATTTCTTTAAAGTACTATAAATGGCTTTTATAAGTCTCTTGTGGACATGATGTACTCAGTCCAACTATTTGGGGGCTTAGGGCTGGGGAGTGAGTTTATGTGACCATCTAATTCAGAGTCTGATTTAGCCTTAAAATCAAACTGCATTACAAGTAAGTTACAGTCACAGTAGCATAATCAGTCCTTAGATAATACAGCTTCCAAAGCTCTCATCATCCGGGTTACCTTTTCTTTTTTGCTTTCACTTACACATACCTTTCTTTTAAGGAAGTAAAAAGTATTAAGTTCACCGATTCTGAAAGTCACAGCTTGTATAGCACTGAACGATAGTAGCTTTGGCGTTTGATATTACAAAGTCAATGTCATTACAAATAATTTCTTCATTCTGGGTCCAGGCGAGGTAAAACAGGAAGAATAAGATTCCCAAATGCGGAGTCTTGAGTTATGAAGTATCCAGATGAATGGGCATGTGCATGCTGGGAAAGAGTTTTAAAAAAAGGCAAGTAAGCTATTAAGAGTCATAATTCTTCAGCCAAGGCATTAAAATTAATTATCTTTTCTGAGTGCTTGAGATCAAATTTTTTTTCTTTGTTTTTGTTTTTTTTGAGACCAAATTTATTTTAACAATCAGTGCTTGTGCTAATTTTGTTAAAATACCCAGGGGATGGGCAATAAAAAAGAATTCATATTAACAAGTTGCACCAGGTACTCATCTATCATACATACTTTCTCCCCAATGATTCTTTCCAGTCAATAGAGTCAAAAACACAAATGATATATTTTGTTCCTTGAAATGGAGGGAAACTAGCAACAATGGTCCCAAAGTACTCTGCTTTTGATCAACAAAGCAGGAACTTGAGAAAGAACGGCAGTAGTTGGAAGAAGGGGGAAAAGGCAGATGAATGCTGGAATATAAATAACAGAAAACCACCAGTGACTTCCTCTGTCACTAAAGAAAGGACTGTTTTTAGGTCATCTAAAGTGAGATTATCTCCCCCTCGCCTGTTTAGCTCAGTCCATAGAGCACTGTGGCCTGTGGACTGAAGGGTCCTGGGTTCGATTCCAGTCAAAGGCACAAACCTCAGTTGCAGGCTTGATCCCCGGCCCCAGTCAGGGCACGTGTGGGAGGCAACCAATTGATGTGTCTCCCTCACATTGATGTTTCTCTCTCTGTGTCTCTCTCCTTCCCTTCCGCTCTCTAAAAATCAATGGAAAAATATCCCCAGGTGAGGATAAACAACAGCAGCAAAAAGTAAGATGATCTCTAATGTCCCTTCCAATTCTGAAATTCTGAGATTTCAAAGCACAGATAATGATCTTGGATCATCTTAAATTATCCAAGATCAGAGCAGTACTGAAACTGTTTATCACTATGAAGAAAATATATTTTTAAACTGATGATTATCACATTCCTATGGTAAGAGGATGCTTTAAACATTTCCTGTGAAACAGCCATGCAGACATTACAAAAAGAATTCACACAACAATAATAAACCAGTAAGACCATCAAAGGGTCTAATTTGAAAAAATATATATGTACTGTTAAACTAGCCAGTTCAGCTTTTAAGATCATTCTGTCCATCCAAATACCCTAAACTCTAGTGTGCAAGCAATCCCTTGCCAGGTACAGCACAGAATCAATCATGACCGAGTCGATACCATAAAAGATAGTTTCATTACTTCTGTTTTGGTCCTTCAAATCCTCTGGGCACAATTGAACATCAGCAAACCACTGCAATTATGTGTGGAACATTTTTATTGATATTGCTCCACTGAAATACAAAACAAGAATTGTGCTGGCTTCTAAGACCCAGGAATCCCCAGTGAGACAAGAATGGCAGTTACACTTTGCTCACCTGCAACGCTGCCTTCTGCTGGGCAGCAATATGCTGCTGCTCAGCGTGATCCCGGAAGTCCTTATTAAGAGAGGGTCTCGAAAGTGCGATGCTGTAACAGGAATCTTAGTTAGGTGGCTGTTCCACATACAGGCTTCCTTACTTCTGAATCACATTTTTTCATTATATAATATGTTGGGATAAAAAGAGACCTTCCAGAATATGTTTTTCCTTCTCCCACTGTCTACATTAATATACACGAAGAAAGCCTGTTATTTACTGGGGCTTCAAATTATGTCCTTTTTTTGATGATTTATGGTCCCCTACTTTCAAACGGATTTGAGGGATTCCAGTCTACTGTAAGTTACATTTATGATGAAAATTGAAGACTTGAATGTTTCGAGAAGGTATGGCACGCAAAAGGGCCCAGGGCAGAAGAGCTTGACATGTTTGGAGAACTCACAGTTTAGTAGGACTGGAGGTCGGGGTTGGGGAAGGGTGAAGAGGGTTGGCAAAAAATGAGGCTGGAGGGGAAGGTAGGTGCCAGGATATGAAGAGCTTTGTGAAAGAACTTAAGAAATGTAGACCTTATCCTAGCGGTAAAGGGAGACTTCAAGGAATGCCATGAGCCGAGGAGCGACACGATCAGAAGCGCCACCTGGCAGTTCAGAAAGACCACTGCGATGGCAGACAGTGCCGGTCACCTCAACAGCTGTTCTCTTCTTGCTAATGGAACTGAACTTAGTTCAATTATCACTGACTTCATGCTTCGGGGCAGGCCAGGCTCACCCCTCAGGGGAGAACTCTGGTGTACGACAATGCCATCCCCTTTGCTGGTTTCTGGCTTAGGCAAGAGAAAGGTACACCGTTTTGAGCAACTAGATTTGATGGGTAGTCTGTTGAGGCTCCTGAGACTATAGTCCTCACTTTTACAAAAGGAACATAGGGTAGGAACCTCCTGGCCTTTGCCTCTCCAGGTGGCTTGGTGCAGAGGTGAGGCCTAGGATATCGCAGTCATATTTTGACCATAAGGGAGCTGCGGACTCATGGAGAAAGGCAGAAAGGAAAGATGAAAGAAAGCTGGATCACTGCTGACAGAGTTGTGCCACCATTAAACTGCTCTGAACCACCTTATCTTCACATTCCTGATTAACATGTACCCTAATGTGTATGGAAACTGTTCGTTTTTTGCTATTTCCAGATTAAAATATCCTAACCGACATGACTGACAAATGTATTTGAGACTACAGGAAATCCAGTGACAAAGCAGTTATAGTAATGAGGAAAGAAATGACAGTGCCAGGACCAGGGCAATGAAAAGTGGACAGATTTGAAATACATTTCAAAGTGTAAACATAAGAGAATGGTAAATGCTTGGAGACAGTAATTAAATGATAACCAATTAAAATTCGAATTTCTGACTTTGATAACTAGTAGATCTGTACCTCTCACTGGGACAAAACACACAAACACACACACACACACACACACACAAGAATATTAAGTAGTTAGTTAAAGGAAGGGAAGATGAGTTCAGTTTGGTGACTACTAGTTTAAAATGCCTGGAGGACATCACAGTGGAGATGTTCAGGAGGCAGCCTGGAGCTGGGGAGAAAGGACTAGGCTAAAAATGCAAATGTGTAAAAGTTACCCCCACATAATTAACAGGCTGTGAAAGTGGATGCAACTGTCTGGTGAAAAGATGTAGACTGAGAAACTGGGCCTAGAACAGAACCCTGAGGAACATCAACATTCAAGAGACAGGCAGTGGAGAAATGTCTGCAGAAGAAAGCAAGATAGTATAACACGGAGTGAATGGAAGCCAAAGAATGAGTATTTTTAAGAAGGAGAGAGTGATCAGTGGTGTCAAATAATGTAAGGTCTCTAACTAGAAAAGGTTGGTAGCAGCTTTAGCCACAAGGTGGTTGCAAGTGAATTAGGCTCAAACCTATTCTAGGGAGCGGGAAGGAGACACCTGGTAGTGGGCTGGGGTGTAAATAAGTAAGAAAGCAGAGATGAGTATAAACAACTCTATAAGAGGTCTGGCTGGAAAAGATGGGACAGTTAGGGTAGTGGCTGGATGGGATAATAGATCTGAGGGAAGAGATTTAAGATGGCACGAACTGAACAAAGGGCATTAAGCTATCTAAATTCACCTACTTTGAAGAATGCTTAAAAAAGTGGGACACTGGAGCCCAACCAGCATAGCTCAGTGGTTGAGCGTCTACCCATGAGCCAGGAGGTCACGGTTCAATTCCCGGTTGAGGCCCATGCCTGGGTTGCAGGCTTGATCCCCAGTGTGGGACATGCAGGGGGTAGCTATTCAATGATTCTCTCTCATCACTGATGTTTCTATCTCTCTCTCCCTCTGCCTTCCCCTCTAAAATCAATAAAAATATATTTTTTTAAAAAGTGGGACACTGGAATAATTTAAGTTACAAACAAAACTCATACAAAACCCTTATCTTTTCATAAAAGCAGGCTGTAGCGAAAATTAAATATTCTAATTAGAATTAAAATATTTAAAATAGAATCAGTTAGTCTAATTTTTTCAAATTTAGCTAGGGAACAAAATATAATGTAAATTCCAATATTAAAGAAACAAACCATTGCCAATCCACTTGAATTATTTTGTCCAAGATATTTTTTATATCCCTGAACTTAAAAAACACATTATTCTTCGGTACCTAGCTCCAGGATGATTTGTTGAAGATTGGTTCTGCATTAGTAATTTTCTTTTCTCTTTGTCCAATTCTGCCAAGATTGCAACTCTATTTTTGTTTTGAAAACCTAAAAAAAAAAGAAGAAGGTTGGGAGAAGAAAAAGAGAAATAAAAAACATTTTAGAGCTATTTTAGGCCATCCTGAAACCCAGGCAGCAAAATTCTCTTCTCTAACATGATAATGAACTCACTAATAAGTAGTCTCTTTAGATGGTTACCGTTTCCCGACTGCTATTTCCCAGCAACTATAACAGCTTAATACATGGATATATGCAAAGAATAATGCTGACCAAGGATTTTTAAGACTCAATTCTAAGGAATTTTAATCACCAAGGTATGGATAACAACATTTGTTTTTTAACAAAATCTCTGAGGCCCCGATACTGCAAGGACTAACCTCTATCCTGCGCAGTCAATCTCTGGGAGTGGAGATTTTCTTAGTTCTCACTTTTAGGCCTCTTTATGAAAGTCTCTTTCATGGAAGAATAAAGCATTAGACATACTTAGATCAAAACAATGTTTCTTTTTCTCAACTGCTTTCATTCAGAAATGACACACAATCTTTCAAGGAATAAGTAAAAGAATTGCAGCTGATTAGAAAGCAATTCTGAGAAAGAAATGGAGCATAACTGACAGGGTACAAAAGAGTATGTTCTTTATCGATACTTAACGATGGGCTTGATCTTCCAGAAGATCTTGGCCCAGAAGCAGTAACAAACTATGTTTTAAAAATCTGAACTCAATTCCAACATGTACATACAAAATATATACACTGAGTTTGCAGCATTTTCAGCTAAATCTCGTGCCATCCCACTCCATCCCGCCTGGGACGTGAATCATCCCTTTGTCCAGTGTATCCATGCTGCACGTACAGTACAGTAAGATATTTTGAGAGAGACCACATTCACATAACTTTTATTACAGTGTATGGTTATAACTATTCTATTTTATTATGGTTGTTAATTTGTTACTAGGCCTAATTTTTAAAGTAAACTTTCTCATAGGTATTACGTATAGGAAAAACATACTATACATAAGGCGCAGTACTATCTGAGGTTTCCGGTATCCAGGGGGTCTTGGAATATTCCCCTCATGAATAAGAGGGAACTACTGTAGTTTACAAACCACAGCTTTAGACCTTTACTTCAACTAATACCAAAGCAACTGATTGCCAAGGCAATCTGCCAAAGGGGTTTAAAAAGAAGGTGCTATGCCGAAACCGGTTTGGCTCAGTGGATAGAGCGTCGGCCTGCGGACTGAAGGGTCCCTGGTTTGATTCCGGTCAAGGCCATGTACCTCGGTTGTGGGCACATCCCCAGTAGGAGATGTGCAGAAGGCAGCTGATCCATGTTTCTCTCTCATCGATGTTTCTAACTCTCTATCTCTCTCCCTTCCTTTCTGTAGAAAATCAATGGAATATATTTAAAAAAAAAAAAGAAGGTGCTATAGAAATAAAGGCCACAAAAAAGTATTTTTAATGGTTAAGTAACTTCTTACAAATTTAGACCTCTAATAAGACTGGCCATCACAAACCATAAATAGCAACTCATCTTTATACAACTGGGAATATTACATAAATATAGTAAGAAAACTTTTAATTTATGTATTAAGTTAAATTTATTCAATTGCCTGTATCTGTATTCAATTGCCTGTATCATTTTTTACTTACAAAAACAACAACCGTATATAATTCACCAACTTCTCATAAAAACCACCTGTCTTTCTTGGCTTGGTTAAGAAGGAATAACCTCCTTAAAAAAATTCATACATGTTTGGCAATCAGAGCACAGGATGCTAGAGTTAACTCCTTGTTACTATGGAAATCAGGTGTGAAAATTAGTAACTATAGGCTCAAAATTAATATATAATTTCTAAATTAATATAGTTTCTTTGATTGTCAGTGTTCTTAGTCACTAAGGAAGGCTACGTTATTGTCAATCTATTTACTACCTCATGGCTGGCCTGTTATCCAAATAAACAAATGTGTATAAATGATCTGATAATATATTCGATGGGAAATTCAGAAAATGAGTATTATTGATTTCATACACTAGAAACTTCCCTAAAAGTCATGTAATATAAATTAAAGTATGATATTTATGGACGGATAGGTATATACTGGAATGTGTTATTTAAAGGGATCCAAAAGTGAGTTCTTTGTAAAGTGAAGAATGCTTTCAATGGGAAAGAAAACTGGGCCTAGCCGGTGTGGCTCAGCTGGTTGAGCATCGTCCCTGCACCAAGAGGCTGCCAGTTCAGGGCACAAGCCCCGGTTTCAGGCTTAATCCCTGATGGGGACCATGCAGGAGGCAGCTGATCAATGTTTCTCTCTCTCTCCCTCTCCTGCCCTTTCTCTCTCTCAAATCAACAAAAACATTTTTTTTTAAAAAAAGGGAAAAACTGGTACTCTCCCATGTGTATATATGAAGTTGCATATATTTAAAGCAAGTTACACCGCCAGCTATATTTTCAACTATAGGACAAGATTTTTTTTTTTCATTTTTTTCAGAAGAGCCTATTGTATTTTTAGAAGTGAATTATATAGTTACATCTTTTTTTTAGAGATTTAAAGGTACTATAAATATAAAATAGAAATTTTTTGAAAAGAAAAGTAAAAAATCCAGTAGTGTTTAAGTTATATGATGAGCAAAATAAGTTACCACATTGGAAAGAACTGAAGTGCTATTTAGAGAAATATAAATTCCCTAAAGATTAATTTGCTCACAAGAAAATATTTTATACTATCCTCCGTGAAAAGGAACCAGGGTTCTCGGGGAGTACTAGTTCCATGTCATAGGGAAGGAAAATAATCAAGATGGACCTGGAATATCTTGTCAGAAAGTAAGAAGAGTTTTGGTTTTTTTTTTTTAAGGCTCAGGATATGCTCAAAGGACATAGAAGCCAGTTTGAGATTAGCCAGGCTGACACAATGGGACATTAGAGAGAATAATAAGTATAGCTAGATGGAACAAATCAAATCTAAAAGCCATGAATTCACAAGAAGATGCAAAAAGGAAAGTTAAAGGACATAAAAAGACAGTTGTAAAGAAAGGGTGGAAATAATTGTTACTATGTTAATAATTAAGTTAGTGTTAACATTTAGGTGTTTTGTTTCTACTGGTAAGTATATGTCTGTTTGTAAAGTGTAGCTGTGTACTTTTTTGTTTAAGTACAGGAGGAAGGGGTAGATACAGGGAACTGTAGCTAAGCTAAAAAGTTCCAGAAAAGCAAATTATGCACTGGAACAAACTCTAAATTCAAAAGTAGCATACCTTAGTACAAGCCAGAAGGGTAAATCTGCTTTCTTCTGGACCATAGATGGTTTAGGTAAGACTTCTACTTGAGTCTGCGGTCAACCAAGACAACCTCCCAGGAGTTAAGCCACCCACTTCCTACACAGCACCCTAAAATCACAGCTAAGGGCATCAAGAGTGGCCCCCAGTCAACAGTTCCCACCACTTGATCTGCATGGTTTATAGATATTTCTACAAGCATTTTGAGATAATTATAAAATAATCAAAGAGAAGAATTCACATTCTTTACTCAGTATTTTACCAGGATTCTCAGGTTAGACCTATCCAACTACCACCACATGATCACAGGACCTTGATACAATATTACCAATAATGAAAGACTCCTTACACAAGAATGGTACCTTGGACAAATTCCAATTTGAGGATCTGCCTTTACATATTAAAATTCTCAAAATGTTACTTCAATCCAAGAATAATGTTCTACACCAGCGGTCGACAACCTTTTGGACCTCACGGACCACCAGTTGGCGACCGCTGTTAAATCCACACTACTATGGATGCTAAAACTATGAGACATTAATAACTGTCTGCCAAGAGCTTATGAAATTCAGCATATTACAATATGATAGAAGGCTAGATCTGAAAGAGGGGTTAGTGGGCACAATAGGATTCTATCCCCTACACCAGAGACATTAATATACTATAATGTATGGGTCAAGAATTGTTTAGTCATTGTTCTTTCAGTTATCACTATAAGATAATTATGGCACTTGACATTCAATCCCCATAATAAGTAGTCCCTAAGTCCCCATAATATGAGTCCCACTCATAAGCAGTGCAGAAATATTTAATAGAGAAAGTAAAATGCAATAGATCCAAATAATTAAGAATTTAATATTTTCATCGAGTCTGGGAGTCTATAGAACATGACGTGGACTCCCTCTGCTGGTGACTAACAGCAGCAGCTCCATGACGCCAACAAAATCTCTGACAAAACAGTAACAAAAGCCAAAGTGGTTTTGACTGTGCTTCATGGTGAATTTGACTGTGGATCAATCAAAGGCCGCACTAAAAATGACTGTGTTTTTTGCAACTGCTAAAAAATGAGTAACCAGCAAATTGTAAATCTCATGTATTTGTGTTACTAGAACAAAGAGATAATTTAAAATTTCATTTTCAGTAGGACTGCATTGTGTGGTTGTTAGCATATTTTCTTTTCAAATTAGACTTCACTTAGTTTTCATTTTTGTTTAATTTCAATTATTTTCAATATGAGTCCTTATAACTTGGAAAAGAGGTCAAAGACCATAGGGGAATACTGACCTGTGATTTGAGAGAACAGAACAGTATTAGCTGGTTATAGCTGGTAAAGCTATGACTGCAACTAGCTTTTTACTACACTTCTATAAAACTCATGTAACCCTTAGTTTACCCTAAATCCAACTAATACACTAAAATAGATTCAGCAGGCTTCCAACTTCCAGGAATGGCAGAGTAGTTTGGTTACAGTAACCCTATTATTTGAAGGCATGAGAGACTGACCAAAATTGGGCAGAAACTGCAACTGGTGAGATTTGGGAATCTGTGGCCTTTGGCCTGAAGCACTCCTCAATCCACAAACAGCTTGGATGGCCTCACCTTACTGATCTGAGGTATCAGAGGACAGAGTTCAGGGCTGGCAGAGTAGCCAAATAAGAGGGGAAGGCAGGAAGGAGTAAAGCCTAAAACATGCCTCTGATATCCACCCACAGTTTTTGCTTTCTGTAAACCGCACATATATGGGGAGAGCCCAGGGAGCCCAGCAAGAAAGCAGCAGCTGGAAGCTAAAAGAATGAGCTGAGATTTCAGTTGCTGTCCTACACAAGGGAGACAATCTGGAGTAAGAGTTGAGCCAAGCCATCTGTCAGAACAAAAATCACATTACAGGGGAATACAACAGAACCCAGGATCTCTACAACGTATTAGAATATCCAGTATCCAATAACAAATCGCTAAGTATAGTAAGAAAAAGTAAAGTGTGACCTATACTAAAAAAAAGTGCAGTCAACAGAGACCAACTCCAAGATGACCCAGATAATGCAATTAGCAGTGACAAAGGACCAGTATCCAGACTCTAAAAAAACTTCAAAATAAAAAGACATAACCCAGTTTTTAAAAAGAAGCAGAAGACATGAACAAACACTTCACAACAGAAGGTTTACAATGGCCAATAAGTATGTGAAAAAGTGCTCAACATTTGTCATCGGGGAAATGCAAGTTACTACTACAATGACAGGACACTTCACAACCCCAAAGTGGCTCCCCCCAAAAAGACCAACAGCCAAGGCTACACGTGGGGCAGCCAGAATTCTCACACTTTGCTGGAGTGAATGCAAACGGTACAAGCACTTTGGGAAAATGTTTGCCCGTTTTTTATCAAGTTAACTATACACTGAGCTGCTCCGTTCCTAGATATTCATCCAAATATCTACAAAAAGGCTTGCAGCAAATATTCAAAGCAGTTTATTCACAATGGCCAAAACTGAGAAAACCCCAAAGCCTCCAAACAGAAGAATGATTCAATGAATTGTGGTCAATTAATACCATGGAACTCCGAAATAAAAAGGGATGAACTACTAGTAGATGGCACAACATGGATACGTCTCACAGAGGGAGGGAAAGAAGCTGGATACAAACAAGTGCACACTTTATGATTCCATTTATATGAAGACTAAGATAACAACAAACTGCCCTAGCTGGTTTGCTCAGTGGACAGAGCGTGGGCCTGCGGACTGAAGGGTCCCAGGTTCGATTCCAGTCAAGGCCACATGCCTGGGGTTGCAAGCTAAATACCAGGTGGGGCTTGCAGGAGGCAGCTGGTCAGTGATTCTCTCTCATCATTTATGTTTCTCTCCCTCTCTGAAATCAGTTTAAAAAAAAAAGACAAAACTAAGATTTTTAAAAATCAGAACAGGTCATACCAAAGATGAGTAACAAAAAAGTATGGTGGGTCAAACAGGAATTTAAACTTGATATGGAAAAGAAGCAGAAGTTTGCCTGAAGTTTTTTTTAACAGGAAACTACTTACAATGTAGGATTTAATACTTTGTAGAGATTAAATCTTATCTTTTAAATAAAAACTTCTTTAGGATGTGTCTAACTTGGTTTGCCTTAGAGAGCTAGCTTAATACAGGCGAAATGTGTAATAAAATTTTTAGAGCAAATGAAGATAAAGGTATGGATATAGCTTGGTGACAATATAACTTCTTTAAAAGTGGTTCTGATTTCCAGTAAAGAGCAAGAAAACAGATGTTAGAGGAGGACCTAAGGTTTACAATGTGAATAATCTTAACACAAATTAAAAGATAGGATTAATAGCTATTAAGGATCTTACATATCTGATACAATGTTGGACTTGCTTTAAATAATGGGGTGTTACTTTGCTATTTATTTTTTATTCTGGCTACAGTAACTGCCGTATGCCAAATTTTCTATTAAAATATGTTTACTATGTAAGGGGAAAGTTCCTAGTAACAAAATACAGTCCAGCATGCATTACCTTGTCCTGAAGGGTTTGCTGCCATCTTCCTATTTTCTGTTTCAACTATGTTCAGTGGCAAGTGGTCAGCACTTTACAATCACCTGTAAAACACGTGCACATGCATACAAAATGCACCATACTTTAATAACACAGGAAAAGTGGCCGGGAACGGCTAGCCTTCCTACAGTGAAACGTCTGCCACATCTTCATCTCTTCAGAAACAGAAACCTGAAAAGCACACAGACTGAAAGCACAAACTCTGCAAGCTCGGGTTTTTCATTACAGCGTGAAGGTTAAATATTCTTGCGGACGTTGATATCAACATTGAGCACGGCTGTCTTTCATATGTCATTAGGCTGTCTACCAAATAGCACCAAACGTATCAATCCATTGATAACATCGATACGGTCACAGTAGAAGGAAGAAAAAAAAAAATCACTCATCTACGGTGCCTCTCGTTTCACTTGCAAAATGCAGCCAGCAACAACCGTGCACACTGGGAGCTAAAATGGAAAACGAAGGGAGATCCCAAATAGGCAACACCGGACTCCTGCCCTCTAGGAACACATACTCGGTGGGAAAATAATACTCTCATTCAAGCAACCATGCTAAAAACACACACACACACACAAAAACCCCAAAAGGTTAACAAACGCGCTCTTTAAAGGGCGTGAACACTGCTCAGGAAGCAGAGAGCGACGGGCGCTGCCGGCGCGCTGAGGATGCCTCCGGGGAGCCCGGGAAAGTACAAGCGCGAGCAAACGGGGGTCGGTTTTGAACAGAACACGGTCAGGCGTCTCCTGGGGCTGAAGCGCAGAGCTAGCGCGGTCCCGTTAGGAAGGCTCATCTGCGGAAGGGAAACGCCCATCAGGGGCGCGACGGGGCTGGACCCGCGCCTCGGAAGGGTCCCCGCCGGCGGTCGTGGAGGGCAGGCTGGGCGGGGGCAGCGGCGGACACGAAGGAGGGGAGCAGTGGGAAACTTTGGGAGGCGAGGAAAGCGGAGAGGCCACTGCCCAGTGGCAACAGAGACAACATAGCCAGTCAGCACCGGAGCCACACACCTCCATCCCCCGGAGCTGCCGGGCGGCCCTACTTACCGGGGACGCGAGTGCGTCAGGGACGGCCTCACCGTGGGATCGCGCTCTCCAAGGGGGCGCGACCACTTCCAGACCGGCAAACCTAGCACAACGTGCAGCTCTACAACCTTCCCGCCCCCGCCACACTTCCGCCTCCTGATGACGTAACCCGAGGGAGCGGAAGTCCCGCCTCCCGCCCGGGCCCCACAGCCGCTGGCCACGCCGATTCGTGCTTTAACTGCCGCCTCAGCGCAGGTGTCACTTCTCTGCCGAAAGCTGACAGCCGAAGAGGCTCATGGGAGATGCAGGCTGCGCTTCGGCGGACCGGGCCGAGTGGGGCGGAACGCGGGGACACAGCCTGCTGGCTCAGCGAGGTAGGGGCGGGGCGGAGGCCGACTGGGTCCCTAGTGCCTTCCCGCGGCCCCTTTCATTGTGGAGGTCGCCGGCCGGAGAGGAGCCACCCCCCACGCCGGTCTTGCGACGGCGGGAACCCTCTGAGACTGGGACCGAGTCCCCGCTGCTGCCGGCACTCGGAGGGCGTGTCTTCCTAGGCTGGGTTCGCTTTCCAACTGTATCACCCATCTCGGTTGCAGGTCCACACACACCGGATTCCCAAATCCCGGGAATATTTTCCTTTTGTATAGTTTGTATAATTATACACATAAGAAAAGAACCAACCATGGGGAACTTTTCAGTGCTGTTTAGTCATCTGTGTTGAAGAAATGGCTGGGCCACATCTCGGAGCTCCTAGCGGGATTTCCACGTTTACTTTCAAAGCTAACCTTCTATCGATGGGAGCCGCCTGGGCTGCGGTCGTGAGCCCAGTATGCATCTTTTCTAGAATGTGAACATGTGTTCTTAATAATGGGTGTCTTCTCGGCGGTAAATATGTATGATGTGCTGTTTGGTTGTGCATGGCCCCGGGACTAAAGCAGTAAGACTTCCAGGCACTGATTGGGTGCCTGGGGCGCGCGAGGTGCTCCCTGTGCGGCAGCTCCAGGCTTGTCATCCCTGGTCGGCAGGAGACTAAGAAATGTTGAGTGACTTCGTCTGTGTTAAGCAGCCAGCAGTTTCAAGAGAGGAACGAACGGTCTGCCAGATACTAAGGCCCAGGTTCTAAAATCTCACCCCTGACTTCCCCTCTGGAGGAAGGAATTCCTCTGAGACCAGCTCTTGCTGACTCATCTAGATAGAGTGCAACATAGCGACTTGGTGGTTGGCCAGGATACCTTTTCAGTGGGAGGCGTTTTTTATTCCTAGCGTGACTGAAAAAGATGATCAAGATGTAGATGCCGATAGAACCTTAGGAGAACCTTTTGGTTTTAGGTTGCCTGACTAGACAATACAGAAACCAGGGCATAAGAAACCTCTAAAAGAAAAAAAAAAAAAAAAAGTTCCATATCCCAAGAAAACAGAAACACCAATCAGAAAGGATATATGCACCCCTATGTTCATAGCAGCACAATTCACCATAGCTAAGATCTGGAAACAGCCTAAGTGCCCATCAGCAGATGAATGGATTAGAAAACTGTGGTACATCTACACGATGGAATACTATGCTGCTGTAAAAAGAAGGAATTCTTACCATTTGCAACAGCATGGATGGAACTGGAGAGCATTATGCTGAGTGAAATAAGCCAGTCAATGAAGGAAAAATACCACATGATCTCACTCATGTATGGATAATTAAGACCATTATAAACTAATGAGCAAAATAGATACAGAGGCAGAGCAACATCGGACAGACTGTCAAACTATAGCTGGAAGGCCGGGGAGGGTTGGGGGGAGTGGGTGGGTAAGAGATCAACCGAAGGACTTCTATGCATGCATATAAGCATAACCAATGGACACAAGACACTGGGGGGTATGGGAAGCCGGGGGAAGGTCAAGGGGAGAAAAAAAAAAGGAGACATATGTAATACTCTGTAATACTTTAAGCAATAAAACAATTTTTAAAAAAGGTTTCAAATGGACATTCTGAACAAAGCTTATTTAAGGAGAAAAGGGGGGAGGTTTCTACCCCCAGAACAACATTTTGCAACTTCCTGGCAAGTTCAACCTTCCAGGTTTGGGAGAATATTAGGAGGAGAAAGATCAAGTAACTTGCTGCTAATCATTTTGCCCTTTACTGGTGGGTGTTAGCCCTTGAACCCCTCTATCTTCTTTAGAGATTTTTGTAATTTCTGCCTCACAAGAATTTTAACATATTGGTTAATAGTAGGTCAGTTTACTTGAGTTCAAATTCCAGCTCTGACATTTAAAAGTTGAGCCCTTGTTTACCTTTTGGTGCTTCAGTTCTGTCATCTGTAAAAGGGAAATAAAAATATGTGAGGGTGAACACCCATTTCACAACCACTAGATGGCTATTATTTTTTTTTTTAAAAAAAGAACCCACAAAACACAAAAAATAACAAGTGTTGTTAAAGATGTGGAGAAAATGGAACCCTTGTGCACTGTTGTTGGGAATGGTACAGCTGCTGTGGAACAGTATGGCGGTTACTCCAAAAATTAAAAATAGAATTACCATATGACCCAGCAACTCCATTTCTGGGTATATACCCAAAAGAATTGAAAGCAGGGCCTTGAAGAGTTAGTAGCACACCCATATTCATAGCAGCACCATTCTTAACACCCAAGAGGTGGAAGCAACCCGAGTGTTCATTGACAGGTGAATGGATAAACAAAATTTGGCATATATATATGCAATAAAATATTATTCAGCCTTAAAAAAGGACACTCTGATATGTTGTAGCACACATGAACCTTGAGGACATTATGCTAAGTGACATAAGCTAGTCACAGGAAGACAAATACTGTATGTGATATTGTGACTTAGAAGAAATATATATTTCTCATATATATTGGTCTTTGCCACAATTCTTGGCTCACAGCTCCAGAAACCTTGGGTATTTCCCAAGCGTTGAGAGGGATAAAGGTGTCTTGTTTTGTTCATGAGGTGGTTTTGGAAAGCACCTACAGGTGGGGACTGGTTGCCAGGGGAGCCAACCAAGTGATTACAGGTTGGGAGCATTCAGTCCCACCCCAGACTTCCTGGGCTGGGGAAAGGGGCTGGAGATTGAGTTCAGCCACCAATGGCCAATGATTTAATCAATCATGCTTATGTAATGAAGCCTTTATAAAAACCTAAAGAGGGTATTGGGAGAGCTTCCAAGTTGGGGAGCCAGAAGGCTTCCATGTGCCCAGGTGCGGGCCCCAAGTTCCATGAGGACAGAAGCTCATTTGTTTGGGACCTTGCCCTATGTATATCTTCATCTGGCTTTTGATTCATATCCTTTAATATCCTTTGTAATAAATCAGTAATCTAGTGAGTAAACAGATTAATTGAACCCAAGGAGGGATCTTTGGAACCTCCACTCTGTAGCCAGTCAGTCAGAAGCACAGGTAACCTGGGCTTGGTCTGCCATCTGAAGTGTGTGTGTTGGGGAATGGGAGTCTTATAGGATTGACCCTGCTTAACCTGTGGAATCTGATGCTTTGGAATTGGGTCTAGGAACTCTGTTTACTGCATGATTCCATTCATAGGAAGTACTTAGAGTTGTCAAAATCATAGGGACAGAAATCAGATTGGTGGTTGCCAGGGGTTGGGGGGAAGAGAAAAATGGAGAATTCTTTAATGGGTATAAAGTTTTAGTTTTACAAAATGGAAAGAGTTCTGGGGATAGATGGTGGTGATGGCAGCAACTATGAAAGACCTGTGTTTTACTGGATATCTTGGTACTTGGTCAATAGGTCTTAGCACCTCCATATCTACTAGGGCCGTGGTCGGCAAACCGCGGCTCGCGAGCCACATGCGGCTCTTTGGCCCCTCGAGTGTGGCTCTTCCACAAAATACCGACTTCTGCTCATGGGCCACGAAGTTTCAATTGCACTGTACGTGCGCGCCCACACGTGGTATTTTGTGGAAGAGCCACACTCAAGGGGCCAAAGAGCCGCATGTGGCTCGTGAGCCGTGGTTTGCCGACCACTGTAGTAGGGGAAAGTCCAGGATAAAAGGAATGCATGTTACAGTCCTATGGCTTTGTCAAATGATAAGGAAACTTGAGGTAGCAGTGTGTGAATTACTTCATCCTGAGCCATTATGTTTATTATAGACTTTCAGTATCAAAGTGGAGTTGATAATAGTCCTCACTTTCCAATTGAAGCCACCCTAATCCTCTATTGCTATTCTGTGATAAAATATTTATAGGAAATGCATTAGGCTAGACAGCCTTTAAAATCAAGTGTGGAGAGCCCTGGCCGGGTGGCTCAGTTGGTTGGCGCATCCCTCTACACCAAAAGGTTGTGGGTTTGAATCCTGGTCAGGGCACATACCCAGGTTGTGGGTTTGGTCCCCAGTTGGGGCACCTACAGGAGGCAACCAAAAGATGTTTCTCTCTCTTTCCCTTCCTCTCTATCTAAAAATCAATTTTTTAAAATTAAGTGTGTAGAAATTTGAGACAATTACAGAATTAGTTACCTATTGCTTGTAACAAATTATTCCACAAGTTCTTGGTTTAAAACAACAGATACATATTTTCTTAAACGTTTCTGAGGGACTGGAATCTAGCAGTGGGATCTTTAGCTTGGGATCTTTTCTGAGATTGCAGTCAAGATGCCACCTGGAGCTATAAGGTCATCTGAAAGCTCGGCTGGATAGAAGGATCTGCTTGTAAAACTCACTCGCGTGGCTAATGGCAGGAGGTTTCAATCCCTCATCACACAGGCCTTCCCATAGGGTTGCTCATGATGTGGCAGCTCACAGCCAGAGCAAGTAATATAAGAATTAAAGAGAGGGACGAAGATAGAAGTCACAGTGTCTTTTATAACCCGAGTGTGGAAGTGACATACCCATTGCTTCTGCCATATACTGTTGATCACACAGACCAACCTTGATACAGTGTGGAAGGGGACCACAAAGCTGCGAATAACAGGAGGTGGGATCCTTCGGGACTGTTTTAGTCTATAACAGAATACCATAGACTGGGTATTGCATACTTATATGCAACAGAATTTTATTTATCACAGTTCTGGAGGCTGAGAAGTCCAAGATCAAAGTGCCAGCATGATGGTGAGGATGCACTTCCTGGTTCATAGATGGCTGTCTCTTTTATAAGGGCACGAATCACATTTATAAGAGCTCTGCCCTCCTGACCTAATCAC